CTCTTTTTTTTTTTTTTTTTTTAACCTGTTTCATATCCCAAGGAGCTATCTGGATTTCATACATTATGTAGTCACACTGCTAGATTCCAGTGACATGGATCTCAAAAAATTAGTTTTTACTGTGTATGAATGCTTAATGAAATACCCAAGCCACAAAGAAAGAAAACACAACTCATTCTAAAAAAGAAAAGGGATAAAGATAGCCCAATAAGGCAAAATTACCAATCCTTGCAGCCTATGAGTTTCCTATCATTCCATGAAGAAATACCTAATGAAAATATTCCAAGGAACTGAAACTAAGATATTTATTGCCATATTATAATTTCCTAAGTAATTCTTAGTATTGCTTGATAGTCCAAGTAAAAAAATATTTAATTGAAGGCTAAAGTAAATATAATTGGCCATTATAGGTGTTTTTAAGATAGGCGTCATAACTTTTGTTTTTGTGTTAATATATATAAAAATATGCTTAGACACACATTTACCCTGTATTCTATTTCTATGGAAAAGAACTCTAATGGCTGCCCAGCCAGAAACTATCACAATTACTTAAAGCAAACTTGGGGTATTAGAATATAAAAGTACATTTATCCCCATTATAGAACTAAATACTTAGTAAAATGTCCATTCATTTTATCATGAGCTGGACCACATCCAGCATGCAAAATATACAATACTAAAAAGCCACATTAAAGGAAACTTCAGCAAAGCACACTTCAAGCAGTCTATTTTTATGCCTGAATTACTACATATAATCTAAAATACATTATTTAAAAAAAGATTAGGAACCTATTGACAAATTAAAAGCATGTCACACAGCAACACAAGGTATTTATAAAACTCAGGCAAAGGAGTAAACCACATCAAGGGGCTTTATAGAAAACTTTGAAAGCTTAAAGAAGCTCATTCTTTTTTGTACCTTAATTACGAGGTTGCAAGTAACTGTGTTTTCAGCCACATGTTCTTGACATGGCAAAAAGAATGTTGGTATTTTCTTGAGTATTAACAGACTTACTTTTCTTTAAGGAAGTCCACTACCCGTTTGAAGTCTGCCACACAGTATTCTCTTTTCATGTCCATGAGCACGCTGTCAGAAGCAGATTGAACTGGTATGTGGAGGAAAGCATAGACTCTCGGATGATTGAGAATCTTTGCCATTTCCTAAAAATGGTCAGAAGGAAAAAAAAAAGCTATTTACTTAAATTTTAACACCAGTGTACAAAAATCATATTCAATTCACATGCTAATCATATTCAATTCACATGCTAATTAGGGTCAGTAGTGAGCTTCTAATTCTCCCCCCAAAACTCAGTTATGGCACTCACTCATGAGAGCAGAAATAAGGGGAAACATTTAGCAGCAATAGTTCAGATTTATGTCTAAACTCTAAACGAAAGCTAACAGTAAGGTGATGTCCTCTACCATGCATTGGTTGTTGAAGACCTTAATACAATTTAAATGCAAACACTGAAGTGAAGAACTCTGGAGCCTTGAACCTATATAAATCAAAAGCTTGAGCATTGCCCTCAAAAACGGCTGTTTGTAGTTTCAGAAAACAATGAGTAGCTCCTCATTAGTCAGAGAGGAATCGATTCCCACACATTACAAAGAGTGCATCTCCTTTAGTCTCTAACTTGAGAATTCTTAAGATTCGCCTTTCCTCAGTTAGCAACTGGTCGATCAACTGCAGACCTGCTTCCCCATTATGTAACAGATTCTGTTCTACAGTACAGTTAACACCTTTTGCAACAACAAAGTTAGGAACAACAAATCCTTCCTAATAACATTTCACCTGGAACATTTTTCTATTATGTATTTATATTAGAAAAGCCACAGCCACTCAAGGGTCAGACAGATGTAACATCTGAAGTGCTCGAACTGTCTCTAGAGCACGTCGAAGATGAAGATTCAGAACTCTGGTTTGTTGCTCAAGCAATGAGACTTGGTCGGCACAGATCTCCATGGAAGCGGCATAGCTCATCCTAAAGTTCTCTCACCACTAATCATCACATGTTCCCAAGATCATGCACTCGTGCCAGTTGTGCTCCCTGGAACAAATATGCCAATACATGGATGCCAAATTGTCCCAGGGAAGATCATCTTTCAGCATAGTATCATCTTTGGGCATTCTTGCGTTAGCAGTGTACACCAGGTAGCAAATCTCATAGAGGCACCTTTTCAGGGGCTTGGGTCTTAGTGCTCTGCACTGCAATTCTGTTGGCTTGTCAGCCGGCAAATAATCTGGCAGAGCATGCAAATCATGCTCAGGTAGGTCAGGACTCTGCACCTCTTGTCATTGCGTGGCCAGGAGCTGCCGGGCAAAAAAATAGTAGGCATCCATTCTGGCTTCCTGGGGTGACAACCCTGCTCTTGTACCTGATGAGCATTCCTGACCAAGCCTACAGTGGCAGCAAGCACATAGCACAAGCCAAGGGAGCAAACAGCCAATAAGCTCCCTCCTCTCCATTTGTCAGCTTGTGGGAGCCTCTGGAGATTTGGGCCCAAAAGGCATGCTCTTCTCTGCTCTCCTGCCCTCTAACCGCAGAGCTCTTTCACAGTATAGACTCAAGTCCATTCTGAAGAGCTTCAGCTGGGAGGGGTCTGTACATTAGTACAATGAAGTAGCCCAAATTTGAAGCATGTCACAGGAGTAGGATTTGAAGTACTTCAAAAGAATGTCTGCCCATGCCCCTTGGCCAACCTTGTATCATGGCACTGGCATGTTGCTACCAGAAGGCATCACCCATGTTCTAAATTAAAAAGAAACTAGAAAATTAAAAGAGAATTGTTTTAGAAGGGATAACACTGTATAGTGAGCAGTTGGGAACACAAGGTTATAATAGGATAAACCTGGAGGAGAATGGGCAGGCTGAAGGGTCAAACAAAACTTCTGGTATTTATTCCAGGGCATATTTTATTCTTGTATTCTTTTAAAACTTTACATGTTTAAGAGGGTATGACTATATAGAGCCTACAGTAACAAGCAGGTTAGCAGATAATTTTGTTTATGGCATTACAGAATGTATTTATGACTTGACTTTCATATCTCTTTATAAACAATCTTATATTATCAATCAGTCATGGCCTGCTTGAGCCTTCACTTAGGCCAGAACACCTAAGATGTGCCACCTTTTGTCATCAAAGGCAAAGGAAAAAACCAGTGTGGTTAGCATCACTTCCAATACCCAAATTTGAACAATGTAGCAGCCACCAGGGCTGGACTGACTGGCTTTTATCATAAACCCAGAGCAGACCTTGAATTCATGACTCTGAAGATCTAAGGTGGGCCTTAATCAACCTGCCACTGCATCCTCAGGCTACAACTAAGAAAATTAATTTTTTTTTTTAAAACAACAGGTTTCTCTTGGAAAAAAAAAGCCCTGTGGAAACGTAGCCCAGATATACCTGGGGGGTGTGCCCTGTCCTCCGATGACAGTGATGGTAGTCAAGCAGGCAGGGTGCTGAGGAAGGGGTCAGCTACTAGAGTGGCTTCCTCCCCACTCTCTAGAGCTAGGCCAAAACCAAATACTTAACTATGTACAATTTATTACAAGAATAAATACAGACACTTAATATAAAATATAGAATATTTACAAGGCTTAATATATAATACTATATATAATATTCCACAATTCATATATAATACCAAATATGAACCAAATAACTTACAACCTATACAAAACAATTAACACATAGGGATATTAACATATATAGCCCAAGTAACTTAACCATAATATTTCTTTAAACCTTCACAAATAACAATACCAATATACACATTGAGACATTAAAACACATAAACCATATAAACCTCCCCCAAAGAATACCTCTAGTTATACAGCCCTTAACACGACAACCTCAAAATAGTTTCATAGTTGGTATGGTCGGAAGGCACCTGAGCAGATCATCAAGTCCGACCCCCTGCCATGGGCAGGAAAGAGTATTGGGGTCAAATGACCCTGGCAAGGTATTCATCTCGCCTCCTCTTAAAGACCCCCAGGGTAGGAGCCAGCACC